TCTGTTGGATAAAAGCAAAACAATTCTTCCCCAACCCCAACTCTGGATCCTCACATTGACTAGCAGAATATATACCTTTCCTAGGGCAATTTTTTTTGGGGGCAAAAGAAAAGCATTATCTTCTATTTGAAATTATAACAGAAATTATAAATATACCTTCTAAACATACTCATATTCCTCTTTCTCTTTATACAAATTTAAGATTCACGAGTATGTATTTTTTTTAAATTGCTAAGGTCTCTATTATTAAGCAAAAACCTATATAAAACTTTTAAGAAAAAAAATGTCATTTCAAATATCAGATTGTGTTATTTGTAAGCAGTTGCATCCATCAGTAGAGAATCCCCACCCTTACTTTATTGTGTAGACCAAGTTGGTACAGAATTCACAGAGATATGCTTGTCCCTATCGTCCCGCTGTTTGCTGTTGGATAGATGAGGCACTGTGCTGTGCCTGGTCATGCCCCTCTCCCTTTGTTTACACTGCCTTCCACCTGCAGCAGCCAACCTAGGGCTACATTTTTGAAAGCCACAAATGCAGAGCATTAATTCCCATAGAACAGAATTGGGCCAACCTGCTGTGCCAAATTCAGAAAGAACAAGTGGCTTATTCTGCAGCTGTGGTCTCAGGAAGTCTCCATAGGTTTAGCCACCCACTGCTGCATTGGCTGCATTTAGCCTGTGTGAAAACAGAAGCTGGTTCCACCCACTCAGCCATTCTGTCTTTGGGAGAAGCATCAACTTTTGTGTTTGCTTTTAAATTGAGTACGGGCTTCTTTAAAAAGCCATCTCCCATACTATCTCTCTGTAGGTTCTTGCTCCTTGTCTAGGAATTTATTTCCCAGACTTGTGCTGTTTAGGGAAGCTTTGGTCTGTTTTTGTTTATTTAAAGAGATCAGACTTATTGTTCTGTTAACCAGACTTTACCCACATTTTCCCCAGGCCTTTTAGGATATAAACTTGGGTTTAAGTTGGGGGCCATTTTGTTGTAGTTAAACCTGCTTCTTCCTACCAACCCCACACTCCCAGAAATAAGACTCAGACTTAACATATATTTACAAATAACTTGGCCATACAGCTAGGCTCTATTCTGACTAGATCATAACTAAAATAACGCAATCATTCTAACCTACGTTCTGCCACGTGGCTGGTTACCTGTGCCTGGTACCATGAGTCTGTCTCATCCTTTCTCTTCAGTGACTGTCCCACCTTCTCTCTCCCAGAATTCTTTCTCCTCCCAGATATACCACCATAGGCTTTTTTAATTGACAGGTGATGCATCCATACAATTCACAAGATATTCTCTCTACAATAAATGGTTTACCTACATGTATGTATATGCGCAACATGCATGCTTGATACATTTGCAGGCACATAGAGGGAATCAGATCTTCTGGAATTAAAGCTATAGATGGGTGTGAGTTTCTATGTAGATGCTATAAATAAAACTTGGATCCTCTGGAAGAGCAGCCAGTACTCTTAACCACTGAGCCGTGTCCCCAGCCCCCAGCTGGAGGTCACAAGCAGGCCTTAGCAATGGCTCATCTCTGTATGCCTAGATTGTGAATGACAAATTTCCATTTGCTCAGCTGTAGCCTGAGTATTAGATTTCCATTATTATCTCAAGGATTAAATAAATGTTTGCAAAAATGATTAAGGGTCCTATGTACATAGTACCAACGTGAAGGAGACAAACATCTGACATCAAAGGAGAATGTCTAATGGCTGCTAAAAGGTAACCACAAATTAGTTACTGTAAAGATGTTTTTAAGGTGGTTAGGAAAAAGTTTGTCTCTTCTCAAAGGAGAAGAAAAGGCACTGGATACACACTTATTACATAGTTCTGCTAGTCCACCCTAGGACATGCGTCAAGGGTGCTCTCTGCTTTAGAGAATGCCTTTCAACATTGATTCTTCAGCTGACTGACCTGGTGAATTGGGGAATCAGATGGTCAGATGGTCAGAGATCCCCAAGAACACCTCTACATGAATTTGGCTTTAGCTGAATAAGTTACTGTTCCCTATCCCTGGCTTATCCATATGGATCAATATTTGTTCAATCACAAACGAATCTACTAAAGAAATATGATTAAGAATGGTATTTACACAGAGGGGAAGTCTCATATTTAAGGATCCTGACACAACATAAGGATAGCAGGAGACAGCAATGGGTTATTCCAACATAAGGATAGCAGGAGATACACAAGAGTAGACCCAGGTGTTTTAAGAACAAACATTGTCCCAAAGCATGGTAGCACAAGTCTATAATCCCAGCATTCAGGCAGCTAAGGCAGGAGGATCACCACAAATCTAAGGCCAGCCTGGGCTTATCTCAAAAGCATGCAAACAAATGAAATTCTGGGTTTCAGATACGTCACACAACATGTTAATTATAGAGACCTGAGTGAATAATGGGAAGAAAGGAAATGATCAGAAATTAGCAAGAAAGAACTCAGCAGCTGTAGCCTGGTTCAGTCTGAATGACCCTAGGCAAGGTCTCTTGTGTGCACCTCAGTTTCCCATCTGGCAAACAGAAACATCTGCCTCACTGGTTTATTACAAGAAATCAAATAATGTAGCTAGCTAGTAAGATAGGTGGTTGGAAGCACCTGACGGTCATAAGAGCTGGATGGTAGATTACTATCAATGTAACGCAATATAACTCATCAAATATTGACTGAACCCTTAGTATTTGCCAAGCATTGTATCCCTGGTGCTGGAATTGAAAGGGGCTGAGTAGGATGCTAGGTTAATGACCTTGACAGGGGAGCTGGAATGAAGGCAGTTTGGGGCTCTGTTATCACAGGGATTTTATTGCATCATAAATACACTCATAGCAGGTTCCCTAACCTTCACCCTGTGGTGCCTCAGTTCTTCTCATTTCCTCCTCCTGTCCATAATTCATGACACATCTGGTGTCTCAAGGAACTTTGTGATTTATGTACTAGGAAACTCTATTAGACAAGAAAAAGCTGCCAATCAAAATTTCCAAAGGATCATGTGAAATACAACAGCAGTCTATACACTGCTCAGAGGGAGTGAGGACGAACTGCAGACAGGGAATTAGGTCAAAGTTTCTTGTAGAAAGCACAGCTTAAAGAAACCACTGGAGAAACCAGACTTCATAGGAAGTTGACTGATGCCTGGTCACCCAGAAGGCTGGAGTGGATGGCAGCTGACAACTTGATCTTTTTACTCTTCTATGGAGCCAGCTTTTCTGAATCCCCCTTAATCCTGAGCTTCGTCTCTCAGCGGATAGAACCCTTCCTCATGAAAGAGGTCTCATGTACTTTGCATCATCTGCCAATAGACTATATCCTTATGCTTATTATACATCGTCCCTCCTTAAACCCTTTCCATGAGCACCGTTTAGCAGCCAACAGAACCCATCCTCATTGTAAAGGTCACAGGTGCTTTCCTGCTTTGCTAGGGAGTCGCTATATCACTATGCCTAAAGCTTTGTTACAACTGTCACCTAGAAACCTTTCCCCAACATTTTACTGTATTTAAAGATGGAAGAAAAAAAATAAATCCTGGGGTAAACTCTGGACGTTTGAACCCAGCACTTTCAAAGGTGGTGCTGACTTAAGTTTCAGCCTTTTCCTTGCATGGAGCTTTCCCTGCCCACCTTGAGGTTTGCAGGGATCCTGACAGTTCCTGATGGGGCTGATGCATACAGAAGGTTAAAAGTCAGCTGTGTCTGGTGGCATAGGCCGGTATTTCCAGCACTCAGGAAGGTGAGGCAGGTAAACTGCAAGTTCAAAGCCAGCCTGGTCTAAAGAATGAATTCAAGGACAGTCTGGGCAACTTAGTAAGACCCTCTCTCAAAATAAGTAAGTAGGCCTGGGTATGTTGTTAAATGCAGTCTTTGTTTGCTGTGTACGAGTCTTGGGGTCCATCCACAATCCTCCACTCCCTTAGAAGAAATAAAACATGGCACAGGCATTTTAGACTGTGAAATAATACATAGCAGATACACCGCAGACCTCCATACTAACAAGCTCTTTTTAGCCTTCACGGAGTTTCCTGCAAACCCTCATTTCATATTTCTTACCTCAGAAAATAAGAGGGTCCTTGGATTTAACGAAAGGTTCCCCTCCCTATCCCCACCAACCTCCACTTCCCTATCCCCCCCAACTCCTGCCTCTGGATAGGTATGGCTAGGGCAGAAAGAAAAGAGTAGTTTTGGAAAATCAAGTATTACTTTTAGGTATCTGCCCCAAAGCACCCTCCAACCTTCACCCCCATTACAGTCATTCAGAAGATTTTGCACTTTATTCACCCAAGTCACCAGTGCTTAGGGCATCTGGTAGCCCAGACCATGGTGATATCACCGACAGTCCAGCAGAGGGAGACAGAAGCTAAATATATAAGGTGCTGACCCCGGGGACTTAGGATCTATGGTTTTTGAATTGAGGTGGATGCAGAACTACTCCAACCTTTTAGTCCAGTGTCGAATACAAGTCGTCTGAATATGTTAAATGTAGGCCGACTAAGCGTTTTCAATTTCACAAAACTGTCTGCATATAACCCCATCCTAAACGGACGTGCCAAGTTTAACCTGTGCTTGGAAACAGGTATGCATCCTGAAAAATAGAAGCCAGTAGAATGTGTGTGTCAGGTGCCGAATGGGAGGATCGGATTTACTTAGTCGCCAAAATCAACTTTACATTTCTTCATCCTTCTTCGCCTTCTCTGATAGGCCAAAAAACTTTTGAACTATCAAATTCTCTTTCCCAGGGTGACAGGATGGCCTTTACTCATCTGCAGCACTACCCGGACCTGTAAGTGGCGCTCTAGCGAAGGGACGGCCAATTTAGGTCCCAGAGCCAGCTCCTGCGACACCTATATAGCAAGCGACTGAGAACTTAAGGGGAAGAGATGGCTGAAAGGCGGGCTCTGTCTGTTACTTCTTGGGATTGGCCTCTTGGCACCTGGGCGTGACTCCCGCTAAGGTATAAGGCAGGAGCGCCATTGTCACAGCTGCAGTGCTGAAGGTGGAGGAGCCCTAGCTCTGAATTAGACGTCACCTGCTTTGTTCCTGCAGTCGGACCCAGTGAGACTGAAGAAGAAAAGGTTTGATTTTTATATAATCATTTATATAGTTTTGGTTATCATGGGATGCTCCAAAGGTTGATTTGTGTTGACCCGGAGCCCTAGATTTGTGGGTACTTTCAGAGGGTCAAGGAAGGGATCCATTGGACTTCAGGAGCCCAAATTCAACATTTTTTTCTGTGTTGCAGGCACTCTTGTATCCGCCACGCTTGGGCATAAGCTAGAAGGATGAGGCTTCTCGGTCGACTACGCTCCTCCACTCCTGAGCCTACCTTCTCCAACGTGCTCACCCCGGGCCGCATCCCAGAGTTCTGCATCCCTCCGCGGCTGCCGGGCCCCTGCGCTCCCGAATCACCGCTCCTGGCCGCCGCACTGCCTTGGCGCTGCGCGGCCGAACCCGACCTATGGCCGCGCACCCCTGAAGACCGCGAGGACGGTGACGACGACGGTGCGGGTCGCACCGACTGGGACCCGCGCTCCCAGGCTGCGCTCTCGCTGCCGCACCTGCCGCGCGCGCGCACCGTTTACGGCTTCTGTGCGCTGCTCGAGAGCCCGCACACGCGCCGGAAGGAGTCGCTCTTCCTCGGCCACCCGGGCAGCCCGCGGCTGGGACTTCGCCACCGTGCGCACACTTACGCGTGCCCGCGCCGAGCCTCGGACTCTGAGCTCAATGCCCCGCGCGTTCTGGACTCAGCCCCACCAGCCGCTCCTGTGCCCTGTATGCGCCGCCTCCTGCACGCCCCCGAAGGTCTCCTGAGCCGAGCGCTGCGGGGCCCCCGACGTGCGGCCAGCGCGCGCCCAGCGTCCAGCGGCGACGAGCACGAGCGCGCCTCCTCCTGCGCGCCCCCGGCCCCCACCGGCCCGGATGCCGAGCGCCTGAAAGCCGAGGCCAGCGTGGCTCTGGGCCGCGGAGGTTGCACGCTGCGCCTGGCGGCCGAGTACTGTCCGCGCAGCGCCTGCCTCCGCCTCCGCCTGCTGCGCGCTGAGGGCCCGGCCACCGCGCTCGAGCCCCGCGCCCTGGGCTGCCGCCTCAGCCTGGTGCTGCGGCCGTCGGGCCAGCAGCGCGCCAGTGTGGTCCGCCGCAGCCGCAAGGCCGCCCTGGACCAGGACTGCTGCTTCGACGGCCTCCCGGAGGAGCTGCTGCGCCGCCTGGCCGTGCGCATCAAGGCCGAGAGCAAGGGCCGCGGGCTGGAGCGCGGACGACCGCTGGGCCAGGGCGAGCTGCTGCTGGGCTCCCTGCTACTGCTCTGAGCCTGGCTTCCCTGGCGCCCTGGACACCTAAGTCGCTTGGCCCTGAGATTCACAGAAACTCTTGGCCCTGGACACTGAAGGCCTCTTGGCTCTGGGTCACACACAGCCTTTTGGCTCTGGTACACTTTCTCTTTTGTACAAAATAAAATTTATTTATTTTTCTATTTATGATCTTGCAGTATTGATGTTTTTCCACTTTTCTGATCGCTTTTTGGTAGCAAAAGAAATGGCTCCTCCCACTCTATTTACAGTATCTAATCCTCTTCCAGACCATTGTAACAGTAAAAACGGAAAAACAAACAAAAAGAACGGGTTCATCTGGAGTAGAAGAGCAAGAACAGAAGCACACCCCCATGCTTGCTTTTCCTGTCTTCCCGTTTTAAGTGAACACTGAAAGGTTCGTGTGTCTTAAAAACAAAAACATTTCATTCATTCACTGGTGAAGTGCTTGCCGTGTAGGCGGCATGTACTGAGTTCTGTCCCTGTAAACCTATCTTAAAAAGCTGAGCCTGGTGGTGCACAGTTGTAAGCACAGTGCTGGAGAGGCATAGATGGGAAGCCACATCACTGGTGTACCGACCCTCCTATCTAGTCTCATTGGTAGTCTCCAGGCCAATGGGAGACCCTATTCTAAAGAATGAGGTGAATGGCAATAGAGGAGCAACACCAGAGTTTGTAACTTGACCTCTGAGGGCAATTGTGCACACAGGGTTATGTTTCAAAATCATTCCAGACATTACAATGTTTTACAGAGTTAAGAGATGTAGTTTCCACTCTCTGTTCTATGCACACATAATGCACCTAAAACCCTCTTCTGGTACGATGACCCTTTTGCAAGTGAATTCTTAATACACTGTGGTAGCAGAAGCAAAGGAAGAAAAAAGAAACTCAAGGTGATTGTGGGGGTGGGCATTACTTTTGTTTCTTCCTGGAGGAACTTTTGTGGCCTCTGTAAACAAGCTGGTTTTGTGGCCTTGTTCCCATTCAGCTGTGATTCAGTTACACAGTGATTAGTTTCACAGTAGGATTTCCTAGATGAGTTAAAATCAGTTATCAATTTCTTGAACTGCGGGTTCTAAGAGGTTATTTTATTTTTCACTCTTTTTATTTTATGTGCATTGGTGTTTTGTCTGCATGTATATCTCTGTGTGCGGGTGTCAGATCTTGGAGTTACAGACAGCTGTGAGCTGCTGTATGGGTGCTGGGAATTGAACCTGGGTACTCAGGAAGAGCAGTCTGTGCTCTTAACTGCTGCGTCATCTCTCTATCCCCTGGGAGTTTTTTGATAGGTCTATTTTTATTATTTTTTAAAATTATGTATAGATGTGTGTATCTGTGGGCACATGCACTAAAGGTCAGAAACCAGTAAGGCCAGAAGTACCAGATTCATGGATCTGGGGATACAGGAGGCTGTGAGCCATCTGACTTGGGTTCTAGGAACTGAACTTAGGTCCTGGATCAGAGCATCAAGTGCTCTTAACACTTGAGCTGTCTTCCCAGCCCAGAAAGAGCTTATTAAAATCCTGAGTACCAACACAAATCCTGCATTTTAAATATAATTTTAAAGTGGACAAATCAATACTTAAAAATCATATAACTTAAAACTGAAAATTCATTACAGAGACATTTCCACAGAGCCGTGTAGCTAGCACACAAAGCTGAACTTAGACCTGAACCAAGGTGTCATAGTAAATGCAGAGGGTAGAGCTATGAACAATACAGACAAGTGAATAGCTAAATAAATGAATAACAAATAAAACTTAAAAAGAAAGGAAAAAAGAAAGAGCAAACAGCAAAAAAGCAAGTTTTATTACTATAGATTACAGGAACTACCAAAAGTAAAACAAAACTAAACAAAACAAATCAGCAAATGCTTTCAGAGTTGGTGAAGTAACCAGGAAGATTTTTGTCCTGGAGAAGGGAAAAATTCCATAAGTAACTAAATTCAGCATAGCTAAGTAGCCCGTTAGTACAACATTATGATGCTCCGGCAAGGTGTATTCACAGCTCCAAGCCTTCATTTCCTCCCAACATCATCTCTCCCTGTCCTTACTGCACAGTCACGCTTTCTTCTTCTTTTTAAATCTCTCTCTGTGTGTGTGCATATTCATGCATGTTTGGGCACATGTGCACATGTGTGTGTTCATATGTGTGAATACAGGTATGCACTTGCCATGTTAACCTTAGGTATCAGCCATAACTTTTCACCTTATCTCGAACAGTCTTTCTGTTTGCCTCTGTACACTCTGGGACAGGTGCCCTGCAACCTTCCAGGGATTTTCCTACCTCTGTGTCTCAACATAGAAGCACTGAGTTTACGGATCTGTGCTACCATATTTAGCTTTGTTTGGGTTCTAGTGAACTCAGGGACTCAGGCTGGCATAGCAAACAGAACAGCTTTATGCACATCTGTGATTCTAACCTTAAGTCTGTACAAAGGGCAGCCCTCTGGGAACATGTCTGGGTAACTGCACTAAATGACATAAAAACACAAAGAATTGCATCTTTCCACTCCACTGGCAGTAAACTCCAGTCTCCATCTGCCTTGTTCTAAGCAGAACAACTCAGCTGATGTGTGCTTCTGAAATCCAACCACCAGCGTCCTGCCAGTGGTCCTGCCAGTGGTCCTGCCAGGCGGTGGTGGCGCACGCCTTTAATCCCAGCACTCGGGAGGCAGAGGCAGGCGGATTTCTGAGTTCGAGGCCAGCCTGGTCTACAGAGTGAGTTCCAGGACAGCCCGGGCCATACAGAGAAACCCTGTCTCGAAAAACCAAAAAAAAAAAAAAAAAGAGTTTGTGGTCCTTTATAAACAGCCTCGGTCTGATAGTGTATCTTCATGGACCAGACATTAGCAGAGGAAATCCCCTTTTTATTTTGCAAAGATGGAATAGGATTTATTTTGCTGATTTGTAACAGTTCTTGGTCTCAAAAAAAAATAGCAATGCTAATTCTTATTTCTACCTGTCAGGTCATGGTACCTGTGTTCATCAGAATGATCCATGCAGAAGCCTGAATCTTCATCTTCCTCTCCTGCGTCTCCTGCAGAGCTTCTCACCTTCCCTTTACCCAGTCAGCTCAAGCTTTATTCTTCATTACCATCACCAACTCTTATTTTCATTTGTGTGTGTGCATGTGTGTCTGTGTCTGTCTGTCTGTCTGTCTGTGTGCACATACTGATATGTGTATACACAGGCACACAGGTATGCATGCATGTGCATGCGGAGGCCAGAGTATGGCTGGTGTCTTTCCCAGTAGTCTCCATCTTACCTCTTTTCTATTTTTAGATTGGCCAGGATCACAGGACATTTGCTAAACAGAACAAAGACTTTCTTCTGTGTGCCCTTCTCCTTGACTCTCCAAATGGTAAACCCTTTCTGTTTCTCTCATCACCGCTATCTATAACTAATTCAGCTTTTAAAAAGAACTTGAATTAAACAATCCCCTGACTCACCTGTCTACATGAACTGAGATGCACTCTGGCCCATTCCAACTCCTTCAGATGTGAGGTCTGTGGAGTCGCTGCAGGCTGGGACCAGTGCAGGTGGGTACTGGAGGAAGAGTATAGTGGTAGACGAGAGAATATTAAATAAAAACTTGGCTCACTTCACTGTTTTCTCAGATTGGCTGAAGTAGTAAAAGTCTGTAGAGATCAAAGGGAAAACAGTTTACTCTAGTGAGTTTGGCCTAATGCTGTTTGTATTCTAATGTTAATTTGGGTCTCCCCAAAATTATTTGTATGAGAGAGTCCATAAGTAAGGTACTGAGGGACTCTGCCCCCAGTTGGTTCTGATTGGTAAATAACTGATGCCTATAGCTAATGGCTGGGCAGGGCAGACAGATGCCTTTTAGGATTCTCGGGCTTGGGAGTGGGAGGAGGGAGGAGAAGGGAGATCTGCCATGCTGAGAGAGGGTTGAGGAGGGGAGAGGTGAAATGCCTGAGGAGAGTGCAGGCCAGAGAGGCATGGCCACCATGTGAAGGAGCCGGGAGAGCACAGCCCAGTTTGGTAGCCAAGATAGAATATAAAGCTTAGTAAGTAATAACTCGGGATTATTGGCAGGAGGTGGATTAACCTCGTGGAAGTCAGGCATGGCTCAGCTATTGTGCTGCTTAAGGTATATTAAAATATAAAGACTGTGTGTGTCTTTCACATTGGGGCGGGTAGCGAACCTGCCGATGGCATTAATTAATCCATTAAGTAAGTAAGTAAATAAGTAAGTAATTCAACAGTTTACTCTGAGACATGAGTGCTATAACCTATAACAAGGAATCAAATCTAACTCCCTGTATTCCAGAATGGGTAAAAAATAGTGTCTGGCATTGTTTGTTTGTTTGTTTGTTTTCTAATCTGTGCATGCTTAGGAAGGGGTGTCAGATGGCTGATGACAGGCCTGAGAGAGGGTGACTGAGACCTCTGACTGGAACATGAGGTGTGCGGCTGGTTTCCATGTAAACTGTGCAGGAAACTCTAAACACTGTTATCAGTTCTAATCTTTGTGTTTCCACCCACCTTCCTGGGGTCATGGTCACAGTGATATTTCAGTTCCAATGAAGGGACATCTAGAAAGGGCAAGGACTAGACAAGGGAAAGGTGAGGCTGCAGGAGGCCCAGAGGGTTTCCTTAGAGTCTACAACTGTGCAGGGCTGTGCTTGTCTCTATGTGACAGTCACTGCCAGCCTCCTCCTTGTGAAAGGGAGAGAATATTTATGGACAAATGGCAAAGAGGGTAATGGGAGGCCAGGAGGATGATTCAAGTCAAGCATAAGGGTCTGAGTTCAGATTCCCAGCACCCATGTGAGAAGGGAGGGGTGATGACATGTGTCTGTAATGCCAACACTGGGGAGGTGGGGACAGGAGGATCTCTGAGACTCGCTGGCCAGCGAGACTAGTTGAAATGTTGAGCCAATACTGGAATTGAACATATACAAATGACATTGACCACTAGCAATTATACAGGCATGAGCGAACGCGCGAACACACACACACTGGGAGGAGGTACGGCTTTGGGGGTATGACTCCATGTAGCCTTCATAAAACTTACAATTCTATGAGGAAAAGAGCAGTGTCCAGAGGACCAGAGAGGCTGAGCAATGCCTACAGGGGCAGACACCACGATGCCAGCAATTACATCTGATGTTCAGGGCTCTGCATCTGCCCCATCCCCACCCAT